ACCAACTCCTTTTAAGTGAGTATGTATCCAGACATAGCTGTGGGACCCAAAATAATGTAAAGGAACCAAGGAGGTAAAGGGAAAGAAAGAACTTGAGAGAAGACTTCTGTATCTTTCTGGTGTTACTGATGGAGAATTGGATAAAATTGGGGTTATTTAAATGGGAGGAGGGGAGCAAGGGTTATACAAGGAACCTAGGGGATAAAGAGAAAGAAGGAGCTCAAGAGAGGTAGCATCATAGGAGTAGGGTATTATTAAGGGAGAAAGGGGAAATGGGGGTGCCTTATGTGGGAAAACCATGATGGAGGGGTGAGACAATGTGAGAGATAAATAATACCTAGCTACTTTAAAAAAAAACAGAGGGAAGAACCATATTACTCCTACAACCTACTGACAAATTATACATAGCAGATCAAGAAATATATGTTTAGGTAAGGTTTATCTGAGAATAACTGGTCTTTTCCCAATATTTATCTACATGACACACAGTAATTAAAAACATCAGACTGGTTGAACTAACCTTCTTGGGGGTTTAACAGCAGACATACTTTGAGGTCTATAATGATTTGGTCAGAGGTACATAAAGGACACTTTTTGCTCCTTGCCCTCCTAGGTCAACTAGTTCCGGAGGACTATGAGCATCTCTCAAAATGTCCTGTAATTTGTGGATCACTTGTCCTCTTGATCAAGGAGGCCGAGGAGACCGCACGAGATGGACTTGAACCAGTGTCCAGTCTACAAAGAGGAGGGTCAACACAGGGGAATCACTTCCTCTATGCTTCCAAGCGAAGCCAACCATGGTTGAGTAGGACCTTTGACTTCTCTTCATATAGACGGAACTGGTAAAAGAAAGGAGCCAGGGGCTCCTCCCAAGCCCATGTGACCCCTGAGGAACAGATCCTCAAACGGCCTTAAGAGTAAAAATAACTGGTTTATCTGGGCCAACTGTATGGCCTTAAACACCCAAAAGGAAAGTATACCTAAAGATTAAAGAGGCCAATATAATTTCTTAAGCATCCATATGCATAGCTAAAGGCTACTTAACCAGTAACAATGACAGGCAATACCTTCTTTTGAGTTGTTGGCCAGGGTGGCCCAAGGGACTCCCAGATAGTAACCCAGCATAGAACTGGGAAAATGAACAGCAGACCCCAATCTTATCTAAAGGAATATTGACAACTGATTACATCTAGATGAGGAAGAGCTGACCCTCCTAAAACAAAGACCTCTAGATAGGCTGACTAGACTCACAAGAAGGGCAAGTAGTGGGGAAGGGCCGGGGGTGCTGACAACACAGCAGACAGTAGGAGGGATAGCAGAGTATAAGGGCTCTCGTCGGGGGATGGAGGCTATGGGGAGGGTACCATCTGGGAAGTGGGTGTATAGTTGAATAAGATGGTTTGGGATGTTCTGTGTGATATACATACACACACACACAAAACCCCAAATTTTTAAAAATGTATTATATTTGAGGAGGAAGCATGGAAATTTACGCCATGTTTATTAATAGAGGTGATAAACATTACCATTGAAATCTACCCGATGACTTTATAGACATACACAGGCACCAAGGATCTGAGTGCAACCGATTATGACTAGTAATAATCAGATACATATAGATTAGAGATGTATGCACCAACATCTCAGTGTTAGGTGCAAAACAATGAGTTTTTCTGCAAGGAACAATATATTCTAAAATGAAATGGAAATCTTTTTTTAAGGTTAAAAACTCATTCAATTTTATGTCTTAAAGGGCTTATACTGAGTTCAATATTGTATAACTCTATTAATTCAACTGTGAACCTAGAAACTTGCACCAACTTGTGAAAGAGATGTACTCTTGCCCTGTAGTGTGTTACTGAATATGTTAAAGCTGTAGTGATATGCTTTTTCTAATCATGTAGTTATTAAAAATTTTTTAAAATGATAAAAATAAAAGAGCTTAGTATGAAAAACATGAACCAGCTCTTCAAAACACATATTACGTGTTGAAAGGTATCAGTATTGAATTAAGAACAAAACTAACAAAAAAATAAAAGAGAGAAAGAGAGACACATTCTCTTTTGCACACTTCCCTTTTAGGCCTGAGTGGAGCACAGCTGTGTTGACTAGAAGTTGAATTTTTCTGTATGAAACTGTGTATTTTAATAATGAAATGGAGATCTTTTTAATGGTTAAAACCTAATTTATTTTTATGTCTTATAGGGTTTATACTGAGTATAATATTTTATAACTGTAATAATTCAACTGTAAACCTAAAAATTTACAGCCTATTTTGAAAGAGATGCATTTTAGCTCTGGAAATTGTTTGAATATGTCAATGCTGTTGTAATGAAATGCTTCTTCTAAGTATGTGGTTATTAAATAAATAATTTCAAAAAATAAAATAAAAATGGGAGAAAAACCTGCAAACTAAACTTTCTTCTAAGTTCTTAGTCTTTTATCCTATGTATCGAAAAAACAAAATTATGGGAGAGATGGAGAGGTGGCTGGAGAGATGGCTCAGTGATTAAGAGTACTGGCTGCTCTTACAGAGGACCCCGGTTCAATTCCCAGTACCTACATGGTGGCTAACAACTGTTAACTCTGATTCCAGGGGATCCAATACTGTCTTCTGACATCTTTGAGCAATGTAGGACATGGGTGTACTTACACACATGCAGGCAATACAGTCATACACATAAAATAAAAATAATAAAATATAGCCGGGTGTGGTGGCACACGCCTTTAATCCCAGCACTCGGGAGGCAGAGGCAGGTGGATCTCTGTGTGTTCGAGGCCAGCCTGGTCTACATAGTAAGTTCCAGGAAAGCCGGAGCTACAGGGAGACCCTGTCTCAAAAAGACCAAAAATAAAATAAATGTTAAAAAATAAAATGATATTCTAAGTAGCTTTTGCTTAGACAAATAACAAATGTAGAGAAATGAGCTGACTTTAGACACAGGTATCATGCTGTCTTCTTGTCTTCTCATTCTTCTTTCATGGATAAATCTCAGTCCTACTCTATGTTGCTCTTCAGGTTTTTTTGTGTGCCCAGCCTGAAGCCCCTCCATTCCTGGGAGCTTGCGCCCATCTTCAGACTTAGTGGGGACTCTTCAAGGACCTTCTGGAGTCATGGGAAGAGGCCTCTCTTTTCCTACCATGAACGAGCTTTTTGTGCCTGAACTGAACTGTGCTCTATATCTTGCTTGTATCTAATAGACTGAAAGGCGAAGAAAACATTCTCAGGTAGGTGAAGGAAGGTCTGTCTCAGCATCAGCAGACCAGGCTGGTTCCAGATCCCTGTGATACACTCCCAGAAGTGTCTACCTGTGTCAAATGTTCCAGGCCCAGCCCTGGAATCAGCCATTTCTCTGATGAGCCCTGGATAGCTTTGGTACTTAGATACCATGTCTAGATCCTGGGGGGGTTCCTATGACATTTGCTTGGTTTGTTTTTTGTTCTCTTCAATGGGAAGAATTTGAAATACAAGTTTATTTTCCCTGCATTCATTCACACCCCTGTTGGCCTAGGAGCAGACCACAATTGGATTGACGCCAGGGAAACGGCAGAGTCCTTTCAGTTCATCCTGCCCCACCTGAGCCTCACACGATTGAAGTCACCCCTGATTTTAGCACCTGAAAATGTGCTCTACTGGGATCATCTGAGGACCATGCTAACCTGAGAGGCTGTCACAACAGGGGCAGAAGGGGTGACACACTCTGGCTAACTGCAGGTCCTCACACAAGACAGCGATTACTTGGTTTCAGCCCCTTTTTGCTGTCTTTCCCACACCTTTGGGTCCCAGGACTTCCTGCCTTTCTCAGTACAATTCTCCCCATTCGCACTCTAGTCTCTTTTGTCCAAGGCTTCACCCTACACCCCACCTTTGCTGCTATTACCCTCTGGCCCATGAAATGCTGAGCATTGGCTGACTGACCCCTCCTTCCAGCTTTTCAGCTCGCTCCATCTGGGACCACATCTCCCTGGGGAACTTCCTTACTGCTTAGTGTGTTCTGTTTCTTCCCTGCTCGTCTCCACTTCCTGGCTGCACTTAGGTCCCCCAGGCCTTGTCTCTAAATGTTCCCTTGAAAGGCTCTCAAGGATTGGACCCTCTCTCCCTCCTGGCAAAACCCCTGACTGCTTCAAGACACTTCTGCAGTCTCAGGTGAGGGAGCTGGAGAGTCAGTCAGGGAGCCAGGCTGGTGGGTTCATGTCTTTCTAGCTTGGAGTAGGTCCCAGCACTTCCCTGAAGGCACTCTGGCTTCCCATGATGCCCCTTTTGGACCTTATCTTTTCTTCTGGGATATCCCACATTCCAGTTGCTCTTGCATTCTGCCACTTCACTGAGTAAAAGAGCGGCAACTAGAAGGGACTGTCCATGGCCCTTGGCTGCACACAACCCTTCAGCCTGGTTCCTCCAGCCTCCCTGCCTCTCTCATATACTGCTGCACTGTCTTGGCTGCCCACTCTTCTACCTGCAGCATCACCTAATGCCTGTCATGATCAGGCTGTGAATAGCTTCATCTCAAAGAAATGCCCTCCCTGGACTCAGGTTTCCAACACACCTGAGATCACCCATTCTTTGTTTCTCTTAACCACAAAAAGGTGCGTGTGTGTGTGTGTGTGTGTGTGTGTGTGTGCATGTGCGTGTGTGTGTCTGCACATAGTGATTCAGTCACCCACTCCCCCCTTTCAACTTTCTTGAATGATCTCCAACCAGGCTTTAGACTCTGCTCTCTGCCAAATAATGCTCTTCGTGAGCATCCATGCTTTCTGTTCCCAGTGCCACCCCAGATATAAGCAGTGCAGGGCAGATCTAAGAGATTACCTGGATTCCTCTTTCCCATCCCAGAACACCACGGTGTACTCCTGGCCCTGGGAGGAGAAGAAGGCTGACTGCTTCCCGCAGGGCAGCAGGTACATGAAGGTGGCGAAGGTTGGGTCCTTCATCTGGCTCACCACAGACAAAGCCAGTGGGCGCTGTGGGGAGAGGCCACTAGTGAGCACAGCTGTGCAGATTGTGCATGGGCTACCTGGTCAGGGAGAATGTGTCAATCTTCCTAATCAGAACTAACCTAACACAAGGCAGAAAAGGTTGAGATATCAGAAATAAGCCCTATACAGTCTCGGGGTCATCCTGGCCAGTGGTAACTGGTTCGGCTGGCTGCATGTCTAAGACCCAAGTGTCCCATCCCCAGCCCAGGGACATATACTTTTGTATGGAATCTGCTTCAATCTCTATCTACTCCTAATGAATAAACTAGTTCTATCTGATTTGACAAACAAGTGCTAACCTTGAAATTAGGGGCTTCTTCTGAACAATAAACTAACCTTAATGATGTAAGGTAGCCCCTGCTTCTCACAAGCAAACCTCCCCTTCACCTTCCAAAGAGATACTTCCATTCCCTCTGTTCTTGCACGGGGACTACATTGACATCATGAGTTTGATACACACAGTGTCACCCCCAAAGCCCCAGATTGCAGAGCATTTTAGAGTTTGGATGTTTCGATGGGATGTTCATACTGGGATGTTCAACCAGTATGTAAATATTCCAAAATCGGGAAAACTCTCAAACCTGAAGTGCTTTAGGTCTTGAGTATTTCAGATAAGGGATAATTAATATGCACTTTGTTTGTATGATGAAATGAAACACAAGCTGGGGAGGAAAAGAAATTTTTCCTGAGTGTGGCAGTCATACACAGAGAACAAGACTGGGTGCTCTGGGAGCTGTTAAGCTCTCTCTAGAAGAGGTGAACAGAGAAGGTTGCCCAGTTGTTCTTAGTGAAAGGTGGGTGAGCAGGTGCACACACCTGCTCCGGAGACCAGCCTCTACCAGAGGGATAGAAGGACCCCACCCTGGCTCCATGCTCCATGTACCTTCTCGGGCCTTGTGTCCCAGCACTCCATCATGAGCGCCTGGAGTCGATGGAACTGTACTTCCTCTGGCTGACCCAGAACGGGGCGAATGCCCTTGGACAGCTTCTTGGCAATCTGAAGTTGGTGGTGGCCCAGTGCAGGACGCTGTCCCGAAAGCAACTCATACAGCACCATCCCATAGGAGAACATATCTACCTGGGCAGAGATGCAAGCCAAGTCAGGTCTCCTGTCTGGGCCCAGCAGCTTTAGCAAACTGGCCCTGAGGAGGAGGGAGCAGGAAGATAAAATTAGATAAGGAAAACATGGGTTCTCCCTAAAGGAAGACCTTCATCAATCCATCCATCAATTCATCTATCTATCCCCATCTGTCCAAACATCCAGTCAAACACCTGTCCTTCTGACCATTATCTATCCATTTCTTCTTCCCTCCTTCCCCTCCCTCCCTCCCTCCCTCCCTTCCTTCCTTTAGACCATCTTATCATTTATATATCAATCCATCCATCCTTCCATCTATCCAATAAACACACATTCAGATTGCAAACCATCAGGTACTAATTAAGGACTCCAAGGATGCCAAGACACCAGAGGGCTGTGTATACAACTCAAAAAAGGGGAGTGGATAGGACTCCTACATTGAACCTCATCCACCCATGGCTCAGGGACCACTGTGGAAGAGGGGGGTGGAAAGATTGTAAAGGCCAGGGCTGGTTCATTAACACAGGGAAGTAGAAGCTTTTAGGCCACTGGAAGCTTGCATGTGTGAACTCGTGTCAGTGGTGGCACTGAGCACAGGACCCATGCCAGCTCAATTGAACAAGTGCACAGAGGGGAGGAGAGAGATGGGTGATGGGCCAGCCCTAGACTGAGAGCTGCTGGAGGCTGACTGCTGCTGGGTGGAGGAGAGTATGCCTTGCACACGATCTCTGGATGGACTGACTGTACTCCATTGGACGAATTTGCACCCCAGATGGGTGTAAATGCTTGACTGGATAGGACTTACCATATGTGGTGGAGTGCGTGGGGTCTGGTGGGAGGATGGGGGAGGTATGGATGATGGAGGGGGGTCTGAGTTTGACTGAGAACTGTTGTATGGGAATATAGAAGCTCAATAAAAAATTTTTTTAGAAAAGGGGAGTGTCTCCTAGATTGCAATCTGTGTTTTTTTTTTCTCATTTTAATTGCCATCAAAAGGCCCAGCAGGGAAAGAACTATGCAGGTTCCTGTAAAAGTCAAACACATCTTTCACAGGGGACTATCTGAGATAGATTTGACAGTTTTTACTTTTATGTGTATGGGTATTTGACTGTCTGCGTGTAAGTGCACCACACGTGAGCAGTGCCTACTGATGGCAGAAGAGGGTATCAGATGCCTTGGAACTGGAGTTTTAGATGGTTGTTAGCTGCCTTGTGGATGTGGGGAGCTGAACCTGGGTCCTCTGCAAGAGAAGCCAGTGCTCTTAACTGCTGAGCTATCTCTCCAGCCCCTAGTGTGACTGTTCTTATCATCATAGTTTAGCGTGAACACCCTTTCTGGGTTGTTTGCTACTGAGAACCTCTTAACTTTAGTTGCTTGAATTTTCCTTTTCCATCTTGAGCAGCAACCACAGTGCTAACCCACACATGCTTACCCCATTCTCAAAGACCATGACCCATCTGGAAATAACCCAATAATAAGACCTTAAAGGGCAAATGAGATGATGGCTCAGCAGGTAAAGGCACTTGCTGCCAAGCCCAACAACTTAATTCAATCTCCAGAGCCCTTATGGTGGAGGAAGAGAACCAGCTCCCACAAGGTGTTCTTTGACTTCCTCACGTGGGTGCACTTCCCATAAATAAATAAATAACAAATAAATAAATAAATAAACAAATAAAAAATGTAATAAAAGAACTTATAGGCAAGAGGATAGATGAGTGAATATACCAAGAGGCTCTGAGGACTCAGTCATTGTTCAAGCCAAGGTTAAGGCTGGCCAAATGTTGAACTCACTCTCTTCTGGCTTAGCATCTGACTTGGCTAGCACCTTGTGTCTTTATTTTGTCTGCTTCTCTAAGCACCCTGCAAGGCTGGTTTTCAGTTCCCATTTGTGCATCAAATGTCATCATTGGGATCTAAATGCAGATACATTTCTGTCTTGAACTCTTTGTCTACTGTTTATAGCCTGTACAATGTTTGTGAACCAGAGTTAAAAGGATTCTGATGTTTGGACTGAGGAGACGGCTCAGTGGGTAAAGTGCTTGCTGTACAAGCATGAAGACTTGTGTTCAGATCCTCAGCACCCACATAAAAGCACCACATGGCAGTGTATACCTATAATCTCAACACACTGGCAAAGTGGATATAGGAAGATCCTGAGGGCTCACTGGTCCACCAGTTTCATCTATCAATGAGTTCCAGGTTCAGTAAGGGACCCTGTTTCAAAAATAAGATAGAGAGTGATAGAGGAAGACACACAGTGTTGACCTCTGATTTCCACACATGGATGGATGGGCATACATACCTACACACACATACACAAACAAACAACAACAACAGAAAAAATTCCAAAGCTAAAGATAGGTGTCCTTGTTAGATGCAGGCAGACACAGGCCCCCCAGCCCCTTTGAATAGGACCACCCTCACTGAGCACAGGAGAGAGAAAAAGACCATGCGGGAGAGTATGCGCCCAGAGACCCAGGTGCTATCAGGTCTGCTTAGATGGCTTCAGATGGGACCTGGGCTCCTGCATGGTTGGGCTTGGGGGTGACAGTGAGCCAGGCAGGTACCTTCTCGTCATACACAATGCGAGGCCTGATCTCTGGAGCCTGGTAGCCGGGGGTGCCCTCCACACCCAGGGCGCCCTCATGAAAGGACTGGCGTGAGATGCCGTAGTCTGAGAGCTTGATGTTGATGTGTTCCTTGATGTCCAGGGACCACACTAGGATGTTGTCTGACTTGAGGTCACAGAAGATGATGTTCTTCTTGTGTAGGTAGGCCAGGCCCGAGGCAATTTGGTAGGCTATTTTTTGGGTGAGCATGTGTCCCAGGGGCATAAAGGAAGAATCTTGCAAAGAAAATAGTATCAAAGTTTAAATTTATCAAAATTTCCATTTAGATAATCAATTAATGTCCTAGCACCTGCCTTCCATTCTTCCCCTTCTATCTCCTGCTTTAGCTTGGATTGGGTATATTCCTTAAAGGGTTAATTTATGTGGCATTACTGGGAAGTAATCAGATTGTTAAGAGATGGGGCCTCATGGAAGGAAGTTAAGTCACTGGGGACATGCCCTTGAAGGGGACTCTGGCCCTTTTCCTCACCCTTTTAAAAAAATCTGGATGACACGACATGGACATCCTTTATTGTCACATACTCCCATCATAAGACACCATGTTACCACAGCCCAAAGAACAAGGCCAGTTGACCATGGATGGAAATCTCTGAAATCAGGAGCCAAACAAGCCTTTCCTTCTTATAAGTTAGTTATCTCAGGCATTTTGTCACAGTGGTGGAAAGCTGACTAACACATCCCCCAATACTTTAAATTTGATGAGCACATTCTCACTATTCTCTATGCTAGATGCCAGAAGGTACAGAGATACATTTAGAGACATGCTCATTCTTAGAGCTCCTTTCATGTAAGCCATGCTTGGAATTGCTGGTGTTTTCATTAAAGGATTCAAGAACTCTAGAATTCCTAGCAGGTCAAGGTTGTCCTGTGGTCAAAGGACTTCATTAATAATTTTCCATTTTCACTGAGGTTGGGAGTAATTGGCTTCAAGAGTGGGTTTTTCCTAATCAAAAGATAACTACCTCCTGCGCTTGCAGTAATTTGGAGGTAGTTAGCTGAAGAATAAGATAGGACACAACTTAGTGTCCTAGAGTCTGTCGTAACAGTGGTGCCCAGTGGTGCTTGTGGCTACACAAGGGACTTAGTAATGCAGCTGGGGGCTTGAGATGCTAGCTGCTGTCTCTTGGGCCCAAAGGGGCTGCTTCTGAGCTTACCCCATGAGGACTGTTATCCTCCTCCAATGGGACTTGAAATTCCATTCTATTTAACCCCAGAGTGTGAGTGCCTTTGGCCCAGTGCTACTACACCATGTTTGGAGCTGTTAAAGCTCCTGCTATGGGGCTGGGTGTGCCTTAGGCTTCCTGAGACCACCTGAAGTTCTTCTTTGCAACTAAGACAGGCAGGTAAGATAGGAAAGAACCCCTGGATCCAAGGCTTTGAAGTCTGTCCTCCCAGCCCTAGGGCTCTGCTGGTCCTTCAGGTTGCAGGCAGGTCCCTATGGAATGCACTCTGAGTGGTGGTACCTTTGGCATTCTCAGAAAGCACGGTGTTGAGGCTGCTCAGTGGGGCGAGCTCCAGGGCAAAGCAGAGTGGGTGAATGCTGATCCCAATGAGTGACACGATGCAGGGGTGCTGCAGGGCATGAAGCATGCTGGCCTCCTGCCGGAAGTCTGAGAAGTTCTTCATGGCATCCATGGCCCTCAGGTGCCTCAGCATGGTGTCTGCAGGAGAAAGCACAGCCTTCAGTCATCCAGGGAGGACAGCAGGTGCAGGGCATGGGCCTCCCTGATGGACTGAGACTAGGTAGACCCAGGCCTAGGCCAGGTCAGATGCCTCTTAAGGGCCAAATGATACAGGGGGCCTGTCATACTTAGTGCTGGCTCACAGGGACTTGGTCAGGTAAGACAGGGACTTATATTTTAAAGCACATGTTGTATGAGGTGTTACAATGTTAATGCCCTGGATATGGCTCCAAAGGGTAGGACTGTTGGACTGATCCCAAGGCAGGATAGAAAGATGAGGGAAATTAAGGGGACACTGAAAGGAAAACTACTGAAACTGTTTATGTTTCCCTCTGACTGAGAATCAAAAACTTAAGAGAACTCATAAAACTGTCAGGATTTGCCTACAGAGACATTAATCCCCTCACTAAGTAACACTGAAAATAAGATTGTCAAAAACAGCGGGAGGACTGTGCTTGCTTTAGGAACAGAGTATTTGCAATCTTTGGGCGTACCCACTCGGATTCTCCCAGTTCTAAACAGGAACAACGCACCTCATAAAACCATCCTGCAGTTTCATTTGTAAGAAAGAAATTCTTTAAGATAAGAGAAATAAGTAAACATGATCATATTGTTGTACTTAATTATTAAACTTTGCTTAGTTTTAAACCTAATTGTAAATTTCATCCTTTGAGCTACAAAAGTCGTGTGTGTGTGTGTGTGTGTGTGTGTGTGTGTGTGTGTGTGATGACTTTCTTAAGTGAAGGTGATATATACATATATATTTTTTGACACATATACAAACATATGTCACTTAAGGGGTGACTGTCTGATTCTCTTTAGTAACCCGCAACCATATCTTAGGTGGGTACTATTATTCTTCCTGGGTTTTTTTTTTTTTTTTTTTGAGACAGGGTCTCCCTGTGGCTATAGAACTCACTATGTAGACCAGGCTGGCCTCAATCTCACAGAGATCCACCTGCCTCTGCCTGCCAAGTGCTGGGATTAAAGGTGTGCGCCACCATGCCTGGCTGTTAATCTTTCTTTAATAACTCTCTCTTTCTCTCTGAAGGCCCATGCATGAAACTAAAGTGTGCACTGTATCTTTACATCTATAATAAAACTGCTAGGTTTCTTTCACTGTGACTCCTCCTGAAATTCTTTTCTGTGCTGTGTTCAAAGAACCAGCTTTACCCGAGGGGAGGTCCTCAGGCAACTGGCAGCAGTTGGGCTGTGCCTTCCTGCTGCCATTGACAATACTAAGCCTCTACCGTCTTAAGAGCTAATGTGGCCCTGTTACTTGTGACAGTTGCTGAGTACCCACTGAGGCCCACCTGGCTCCCTCAAGGGAAGACTGCCACCATCGTGATCCAGGTTTGCTCTTACAGCTCTCACTCCCTCTGCCACCATTCACTGTAGGTCCCAAATATTGGATTCCCTTTGCATCCCCAATGTCCGGCTCAAAGCTGGACTCAGTAGCTGTCTGGAATGAAACACGGCCCCTTTTCTTCCACCCTCAAAGATGATGAGGGTTTGCTCACTGCTGGTCACCTTACTCTCTACCAAATAGTCAGGACCATTGAAGGTGGAAGCCACCATCACTCCTACCAGCCAGTGAGAAGTGTCCATAGCCACTAGCCTGCGACATTCACATCAGAGAACGGTATGTAGGTGGGGATGGGAGATTTCCCATGCTGTAACTTCTTTCAATGCCTTTGACATTCATGTATTTCTCAGAAAACAGCCTTCAGAAGGCCCTGGAGGGCTCAGGACACCACCCTTGGCTATGACCAGCCCATACAAGATCATCTGGCTCTGAAGCCACCAGGCAGGATATAGGCAAGTCCGGCCTGTCCTGTTTCCTGTTTACATCCTTCTCTTATGGTTAGATTTTTTTTTTAATTGTTTCTCTTGTTTTTGAGACAGGGTCTCCCTGTAACCCCAGCTGATCTGGAATTTGCTGTGTAGATCACACTGGCCTTGCTTGCTCTCACAGAGATCTGCCTGCCTCTGCCTCCTGAGTGCTGGGATTAAAGATGTGTGCCACTATATCTGGTTTATGGTAAGATTTTAAAGTTGGGAATTGTTGGATATACGAGTACAAATACCATGGAAACCTTAGTGTTTAACATACACTGGTTGTGCAAGATCCAGTGCTGTTGTGCTGGCCATTTGACTCCTAAGGGTAAGGGCTCATTCTTCACACTGGGTCATTCATAAGGGCTCATGCTTCATGAAGTAAGAATTTACTTTTTATTATTGGGTGAGATAAGCTTCAAATCTCTACCCCATTTAGTGAATATGGTGCGTTTCCCCTGACCTGCGATGTCACCTCTGCTTTGTGCCACAGGAAAGTAGTCTCCAAGAGCAACACCCAGGCCTTGCATGGCCTGGATCTCTAGTCTATGCTCCCAACCTGCCAGGCACAAAGCAGTGCTGCACCAGGCTTTGTGGCAGCCCTGCCCACTCTCCTCACCTCCTACCTCATACGTACATGTGGTTCCAGGCCTCCCTAAAGTGGCCTGGCGTAAGGACAGAGAGAGCTTAAATATCTGAAGAAAAAGGTGTTGGGCTAGGGCCACATTACCTGCTGGGGCATTAGCAGAATTCTTGAACTTCTTGATCTGAAATCTCTTCACAGCCACAGGCTGGCCCTGGTACCGGGCCCGGTATATGACTGTGCCACTGCCACCTTGGCCCAGGATGCTGCTTTCACCCTCACTGTGCTCCAGCATGCTGTTCTCCAGGAAGAGCCTGTGGCATAGACAGCTCAGAGGTCAGTCCTTCATGATCCAACCTCAGGCAGGGTTGGGGTGGGTCCTGGACTGGACTGCTAGTTCCCATAGGGGAGAATCACAGCTAAAGCCATCTGTGCTGCCACAAGTCAGGGGGCAAACCTGGGCAACCTTTGTAGCCTTGCCAAGCCTCAGTCTCCTCCTCTGTATGGTGGGCTCATCACAGGGACCCCTTGAGAGATTTTGAGGGAAGTGTGTATCTCTGGTGGGTACAAAACAAAAATCCCTTTCCAAGTTTCACTCTGAAGATTTTATGCTTTGAGGACTGTCATCCCTTGGATAGACGGTACTATTTACTGCTAGCTTGCTTGTTCTTCTACCTTTATTATGTAAGATTATCCTCTGTCATGTAGAGCTTCTGATCTTCAGAGCTAGTGTCCCTAGAAGTAGGGACTAAGATTTGACTCAAGGGCAGGTATATGCTGGTCTGCAGTTACTCTGTATATTCTGAGCCTCATGAACACCGAGATTTCTATGGGGTTCTGGAAACACTGTAGTTATTACTGAATCATTGGCCTTTGTACAGACTTCTGGGCCTAGAGGCTCTGAACTAAGAAGCTGAGGAGCGTGGGGCAGAGCTGGAGACTTCCAGGCAGCCCAGATGGAGGATGGGACAGAATGAGGATCTGTAGACATTGGCTCTTGAGGTTTTGAGGCCAGTATGCAAAGCTTGGCCATTTGGGGGCATCCCTTTTCACCCCTCCCCTGTCTCCGGCCTGCACCAGAATCCCTGGCCTGGACTTTTACTTCTTGAGACGCCTTCGTTTCTTTAGAAATAGTGGTGTGAAAGAACAAAATGTGAACCAAAGAAGGAGGCAGACAGCCCACTCCGCTGAGATCAACACTAGTTCCTCATCAGGGACTTGTGGCAGGTGTCTGCCATCCAGGCTAAGGATGCCTGTGAGCCCTCCTGGACCTGAAGATGTATTTGCTCCCTGTGCCTTTCACAAAAAGGCTTTGCAGATGCACAGACTTAGCACAGCTCAATCTATCATCTACACTCACTGCAGCCCTGGGCACATGGCTGCACACAGTCTGGGGATGTTTTTCAAAAGCTCCACCAAAAGACTTGCTTGGGAAATGCAGCTTCTTGAGATTTACCTAGGATGGGTTCGGGGAACCAGCAGAGTGCTGAGGGTCCTTCTTGGGATTCTGCTAGGACTTATGCAAGCTTGGGAAGGCAAAGTTCTGCAGGAGTCACGGGGTAGAGATCTGCCTGCCAAGCTCCACTTGGAGGCTATAGTTGGGCCCCAGCCTTTGTCCGCCTGCTGGATTGACTCTTACTCAGGCTGTTGGGCCTTTCCACTTCTTGTCATGTAACTTCATCTCAGAATGTTACCATGTCTGAGTTTAGACCCAAAGCAGAAAGGGCAGTCCAGCAGCAGGGTTCAGAACATAAATGAAAATCCTAACACGAATTGTGTACCTTCCTAAAAATGGGATTCATATTTATACAAAATCACATGCACATTAAACATCTAGGTGTGAAGGTAAGTTGTTTTGCAGCAGAGTGGTGTTTGCCCATCATGACACGGCTGGAGACACTGAGCAGAGCTAAGGTCAAAGTCACCCAGTGTAGGAAGCATGTCCTTCACCTATTAATTATTATCTTGTTAGTGTTCGGTATTGAACACAGGGCTTTGCGCTCTACCACTGAGCCACCTCCCATTCTCTTCTTAAATTTAATAGACTCACTGTCTGCATGCTCAAAGAATATCCCATAAGTATCTGGAACAGTGTAGAAAAATGAGAACACAGGCATCCTTAGCAAAAAAGGAGGAGTTTGATTTTCTTTAAAGAAACAAGATATAGTGTACCACTGAAGGGGACAGTGGCATGGACTCAACTCTACAAGTCCAAGTTGTCAATTGTCCTCTAGGAGTCCAAATCATAGGAGTGGGTTCCCACTGACTAGAGATGATGGAGGACATGCTTTACAGAGGACTTATATTTTGTGGCCATTTCCTCTTTCTGTAATATTCCTTACTCAGTTATTATCTTAGGTGGGTACAGGCAGAATCAACTTGAAGAACAGAATTAGAGTGTGTGAATGCTTTTGCCAGCTCACAGAGGGGCAGACAGAGTAGGGCCCCATGTGGCTTCATCTGCAAAGTGCAGTGGGGCATGTCCAGGATTCAGAAATGGAAAGCCAGTGACCCAATTGCTTTCAGGACGCTTAGGACGGAGACCACAAGTGACCTGAGATTAGGTGGGAAATAATGGCTGGAGCAGTTACTGCTACCCATGACAGGGGCACCATGTAGCAACCTGGTGGGAGGGGTCTTTTCTAGGATCCACTGGCACCTGCACCTAGGGACCATGGAGCATACCTGGCTGGGAAGTCAGTCATGAACAGCTCTGGGACTAGCTCCTGTAGTGGCACTAGGACATCTGGGTGTCTGGGGCAGGCGATGAAGTCCTGCTCAATAGCTGTCAGCACACAGTCTTCCATATCGAAGTATTGTACGCTCTCTGACTTCTCACTTGGATCTTCATGCTGGGCCCAGGATGTCTCACAGACTGGGCAGGGCACATACTGCTCCATGAGTGGTGTTCCATCACTTTCTGTGGCTGTCAGGGCTAAAGGATACAAACAAGATGGCTTATGTGAAGTGGCTGAAGATGGGTCCCTTGAGTAGTTCCCTACAACCCTGGGCCAGGTGGGCCTTACAGTAGGGGTACTGTCTGCTCCTGCCAATACCCCAGTGTGGTGGTTTGAATGAAAATGTTCCCCATAGGCTCCAAGTGTTTGGACATTTTGTCCCCAGATGATGGCGCTGTTTAGGAAGGTTTTAGAAGGTGTGGCTATCCTGGTGGAAGCACGTCACTTGGGGTGGGCTTAGAGAGTTCTTAAGCCTTGCCGGATCTCCAGTTGCCCTCTTGCTTCCTGTGCCTGCTTGATGATGTGAGAGTTTAGCCTCTACTGCTCCTGTTCCAGCCACCTTCAGCTACCACGCCTCCCTGCCATGACGGACTATATTTCTCCTGGAACCATAAGCTCAAATAAACTTCCTTCTATAAGTTGCTTGGGTTAGTTAGTGTTTCTATCACAGCAACAGAAAAGTGACTAATACAGTTATTGGTACCAGACAGTGGGCTGTTGGCTGTGAAGAACCTGACCATGTGGGGCTTTGGAAAAATGTGGAAGACTTCGGAAGTTTTGGCTAGAAAAGTGGTTGATTGCTGTAAGCAGAGCTTAACAGGCCGTTCTAGTAAATGCCTGGAGGAAAGCAGTGCTGAGAACAATGTAATTCCAGATGGAAATAAGGACTTAAGCAGCAGTTGGGATATTTTGGCAAAGAGTCTGGCTGGAGTCTGCCCACAGCCAACAAGCTTGCCATTGAAAAGCAATGGACTACTTTCTCTGGTGGAAGAAAGTTCAAGACAGCCTAATGTTGAAATGGTGGTGTGGATATAAATGGTGAATATTATGCAGATCTACAGTGAAAAAGAGCAAATGGGGCAGAAAGAAATACAGTTTGGGTTGAAAAAGAGCACTAGGAAAATAAATGTTCTAGCCTTTGCAGGTGCTAGAGAAGATCTCTTTGATAAAAGGATTAAAGTGATTAAGGAGGGGCCTAGAGATTCAGACTTAAACAATGGAGAGAATGCCTCCAGGGCAAGACCACACCCAGTTAAACCTCCAACTTGTGAAAGGAAAATGCTGCAGGGGCCATGGAAAAGAAAAGCTTCTAAAATGGATAAAGCAGGCTGGAGTCCACCCCAAACTTGGAGTCAAGCTTGGCAGTGTCGTTCACCTGGTCCTGGCTTTAGAGGCATGAACGGTGGAAGAGTGAAGGGGTCATCAATTCTTCCTCGGAGGTTTCAGAGAGGCTTGGAGGCCAGGCACCGTGAAGCAGGGATTCCCCTGCCTAGAGAAGGCCCTGATAGGCCATTGTGTGACGCTGTGAAGGTGAAGCCTGGTTGGCAATGGAGACCCCAAGAAGTTCGTGATGCCAGAGCTGTGAGGCATCTGCCAAGAAGACCTGCACACAGGGAGTGGAACCAGCACAAGAGAGAGATGTGTGCTGCAAAGGATGAGCCATCTAAGCCCTTTGGAAGTAAAGTTCCAGAAGTTGGTCGTGGAACTACTTACTGGATTTGGTGTTTGCCCTGCTGGTTTTCGGTCTTGTTTTGGTCCAGTATTTCCTTACTATGGCTCCATTCCTCCCTTTTGGAATGCATATTCGGTTCCACTGTATGCTGGGAGTATGTAATTTGTCTTTTGATTTTATAGAGGCTTACAGTTAAGATATTTACCTGAGTAGACTTTGGACTGTGGACTTTTGAATAGTATTGAGACTGATAATGACTATGGGGACTTTTAAAGTTGGACTAAATGCATTTTGTATTTTATATGGTCATGAGCCTATGGAGGCCAGGGGTTGGAATGTGGTGGTTTGAATGAAAATGTCCCCTATAGGTTCCAAGTGTTTAGATATTTTGTCCCCAAATGATGGCGCTGTTTTGGGAGTGTGGCTATCCTGGAGGAAGCACATCACTGAGGGTGTGCTTAGAGAGTTCTTAAGCCTTGCCAGATCTCCAGTCGCCCTCTTGCTTCCTGTGCCTGTGTGATGATATGAGAGCTTCACTTCTGCTGCTCCTGTTCCAGCCACCTCCAGCCACCATGCCTCCCTGCCATGACAGACTGTAATTCCCCTGGAACCATAAGCTCAAATAAACTTCCTTCTATAAGTTGCTTTAGTCAGTGTTTCTATCACAGCAACAGAAAAGTGACTAATAAAGCCAGGGAGCCTGAAATCCAGTGCCACTGGGGTGACTTATTGTTTTTATTTTGTGTTTGAAGCAGGGTATTGCTATATAGCTGAGGTTGGTCTCAAACTCAGGATTCTTTGACCTTTGCTTCCTGTGATGGTTAATCTTGGTTGTCAGCTTGACTGCAGCTAGAATTAACTAAAATGTGAAGGATTTTCTTTCTTGGTGTTTCTTTTTCTTTCTTTTCTTTCTTTCCTTCCTTCCTTCCTCCCTCCCTCCCTCCCCTCTCTCTCTCTCTCTCTCTCTCTCTCTCTCTCTCTCTCTCTCTCT